GAAGAATTACCTCACCATTTCAGTCACTAACTGGGGATTCTTGTCAGTTATGCTAATTTGCTAAACACACAAAAATTGTATGCACTCTATGTTACATGTGCATCTTTGGTGCTTTCCATCTAGCAAGTTGTGCACCTATGGATCTACAGATCCTTAGAAAGGTGATTTCTTTTTATCACCTAACTAGGTCTGGCTTGTGCTTTTAGGACAAACAAAAAGGCATCACTACCAGTTGGAATTTATTAAAATAGATTGCATTAAATACCAAGTTAGTGAAGTTAAGGGTATGCAGAGAAACTGTAAATTTAGATATGAAAATATTCAGCTATTAAAAAGGGCACATGTGTAGAACTGTAAAAATAGAAAACAAGTAAATCTATTGATGCATAATTTATATATATATATATTTGACCTTTGACTTTGATTATACTTTTACTAACCTACACATATATATGAAGCTGTATATTTTTACTTAAACACAGGCATATGTGTGTTTCTTCAAATTCAAGATTCTAGATATTCCTTAAGTTAGACAGTACTGAAAATTGCCCATATTTCTATGGTAGACAACTCTACATAGACACAAATGCCAACATATTTCAATGTATCAATTATTATGAACTGAGATTACAAAATAAAGCCATATAAAAATAGTTGGAAAGTTACAACACATATTTCCCCAGCATCTTTGCAAAGTTACTTAAACATGAGAAGTTTTTCAGTCTATAATGTGCATATAGCAGGGAAGCAGACATATTTGTAGAAGCTGTGGTCTTAAGAAAGTCTCCTACCTTTATACGGTGAAAGGTTTAGAAAACATTAATTCATTCCTCCCTACATGGAAACAATTCCTATTCCTTTAATATTCATGAGTAGTTGAATTGACACACAGTAGAAAAAGTAATCCTTGCATCCTGAATCAACAGATTTGGAAAAATATATATAGATGTGTATGGATTCTATCACTAAAACGATCTCGAAACCAGACAAACAAGAAGCTCCTTCTCTTTCTGGAATTGCTGAGTGCTATTCAGAGAGCTGCCCTGCTTCATAAACATGCCCAAAACAACTCAGCATTAATGAATTTCAAACTGAAATATGGTGAACCAGAGCTAAGCTACCAGAGCTAAGTTTGATTCCGCAAAGATCTTTCTTGACCAAGCATTAGAAAAATTGTGCCAAAACTATTTTTGGCAAGAAGATATATGTTAGAGGCTAAATTCTAAGTAAATATGAAAACATGTAAAAAAATTAGTTCCAATGCTGTTATGCTGGCTTTACACCATTTCAAAATATGTCTTATCATCTATCTTTCTCTTTTGTTTTAACTCTTCATGGCTCTTTGCTAGTATTAAATGAGTCATATATTTCCATCCACACCTTATAAGTTTGTTCCTCCTCAAATATTCTCTGTTGTTCAAAATAAATCTTATCTGACTGTGTTTTTTCCTCGTGTTCATGAGTTTAAGTACATCTATCCAACAATAGTAATTTTGTTATCTTTTTCTGAAAGAAAATAAAAAGAATATATGTTTAAATTGTTATTTTCTTTTTTTTTTTTGCAACAAGAAAAGAAGGTGAAGAATCAATATCAAAATTAACCATAAATATTTTTTGAGGTAATATGATGTGGTAAGCACAGTAATTTATTCTTGATTGTTTTTGCTGTTAAAAATTATTTTTATCACAATTTTGATCACCACATCATAAATCTTGTGTATTGCCAGGATATTTCCTGTTCTGTTTTGGTCATGGTTTATTGCTTTTTCCATTACTAATATGCATCTGTTTATGATCAACTTTAAAAAGAAAAATAAAAACCAAACCAAAGCACATCTATAAGCACTAGACCAACAGTGAGCACGAAGGTGGCATCGTGGCTGTGCAGCTAAGCAAGAAAGGATTCCTCCTCAAGGAACACAAATGCCCTCAATTCCCTCTGCCCCAGTACAGGTTGAGAAATAGAAGCACCTCTCAGGGATGGAGATATTCTTGCCAAAGGAAAGCATTTTCTCATTTTGAGATGTCCACTATTGTTGTTACACTCGCTGTTAAACACACTTCAGTGTAGACACCTCTGCTGGACAAGAGTACAGAACTCCTAATTAAGGAGCTTCATTTTTGCCACAAAAGGAGCTAGATCGTAATGGAATCTTTTGTCCTGTGCTTAATGACGGGTGAGATATTGTTTAAACCACTAGCAGCACCACTGCAAGAAAATGTGAGTAATTAGCATAGGTTAACACCCAGAACAGCACCAGTTGCTTTTGTTAGTACCAGTAGTGTGTCGATTTAAAAAGAAAAATCAAAAGAGTCACCTTAAGTGGGTCAGCTTTTCTTCTTGAAAGGTAACGTTAATCACACAATTTTTTAACTATTGGTTATCTCAGTCTTTCAGATTTTTTTTAAAAGATTGAAAGTAGCCTATATCAAACCCTGTGTATACTAAAAAGTCAAAGCAGCAAAATAGCAAGCAACCACCCATTTTCTCAAGTGGGAATTTAGTGTTTAATTTGCATGGGGTAGATGCACACTATCTGTAAATTAGTAAAGACCATCTGCAATCTCATGCCTAATACTATATTACAGAAAGATCAGTGATTCAGGAGGTCATATCACCCTTAAGGAAGGCACAGGAAGAGGCCTGAATGTGAAAATGGAGATGAAATTTTTGACCATCAGCTACCAAATGCCGGTGGAACTGGTATTGCTCCTACTTCTGAGGGATAAATGCCTATCTACAGAACTGAAAATCTTATTTTCTAAGATCGATTTGTAAACTAACTCATGTGATGGGAGAGGTAACAAGAAAAGGAAAGACGTTACTTTCAGATTACCTACTTGTGAACAGAGAATGGATGCTGGATCTGCATGGAAACCGCTTGGACTAATATTCCTGGACCAGAGTGTAAATATGTCATATATGTGGCGTAATTGGCATGACTGATGTCATTACTGGTGTTACCAACATGAAATAGGCTGCTTCATGACTAAGATGACAGGAACAGGACTTCACATGACTACCAATTGTGTGTGCAAAGGTCGTTTATGCAGTTTGGGTACAAAGAAATTCTTCATCTCAAAAAAATCATACAAATAATATAAATAATGCTAGGAGTTGTCATTCTGAGACAAGAGTTATTTGGCTCAAGTCTACACTAACCATTAAATTAGTACTTTAATTAGTCTTTAAGGTGGCTCGTGTAAAAACTTTAGTAGGCTTAGAACTTCAGTTGTCTTACTTTTAGGTTAGCCAAGCTGGGTGACATCCAATGTGAATGTTATTTATCTTTTTTAGCTTCAGAGCTTGCTGAGTCATCTTTACACAGAAAAGACACAGATCATGAAAAAATACCCTCATTTTCTTCCTATCAACAGTATTGAGTCAAAGATCGCAAGGGAGAAGACCGACCTTTTAAAGTCTTCTTTCAAGACTTGCATTATCTATGTGCAACAAGACCAGAAATGTTTACTCCTTTTTTTTTACATCATCAAAAATATGCTTATCCAGTATGTAATGTTGAAGGTCTTTCATGTTAAGTAGTGTATTCCTAATGGTATAATGCTGGAAATCAATACATTGTTATGTCACTAAATAGTAGTCCCTGGTAAGGATGTAAATTCACTGGATTAATAAAAAACACAGTAAATCCAGGCGGCTATTCACTTTTATGGCCCAGGTTAATGTTATCAACGACAAATCTATTAAAATAGCAAATTAGTTCAGAAAAAGAGAAAGCAAAAATAACAACTCTTTGGTAAATAAAAAAGTCTTTAAGAGATGAAAGGAAGTTATTGGGTCCAGGTAAGGAAGCGTCTTTCATTATGTTCATATGAATATGATGTGCATATTTGCATAGCATAGCGGCGCAAAACCTGCACAGAATGCGTGTGCAGATTTCACCAGTGAGCACCTAAAGTGATCATAGACATAAGTGCAGCCACACACTTTAATCTGAAAATATTTAAGTTACCTAAACCTATAATTCAGTGGTTTTTCCATGTTCAGAATTCTGTTTGGGAAGGCTGGCAGTTGAACCTTGCTCTCCATGCTTGCGATTTCTGGATTGCAGTCCATGTTTAAAAATTCCATCCACAGCTGCACACAGGCACATGCAGACAGTCTGGAGGGAGCAGGTGAAGGAAAGTGGGGGATGCCTAATTCCTGCCTTGGCTCTGCAGCAGCACAGAATCAGCATGAGAGAAATGCACACCCAGGTGGGTGTGAGGTCACCTGCCTTGGCCTCAATGTTCAGCAGGAGCTCTGCCTCTGCTGGCAGCCTGGAGAGCCTCCAGAGCACCCTGAGACCTGGCTGCCGACTGGCGCCTCGCTCAGGGTGTTCCTGCACAGGACCAGGCTGCGGGAGCCTCCCAGCTACCTGGCAGGAGATGCTCCAGAGGCTTCCAGAACCGTGGGAATGCTGCAAGATCAGAAACAATTTTGGCTTTGTTACTAGGATTGCACTGCCTGCGAGCCTGGTGGGAGGCAGCACGGGAAGAGCAGAGCTGGCGTTCGGCTTCCCTGGCTGGATGGGCAGCTGGCATCCCTGAAGCCAGCGCAGATAAATGCATCTCCTGTTAGTGGTGATGTGAAGGGCTTTTGAAAATGAAAGCAACCTAATGAAAAATGATCAACAGCAAAGCGTGTGCAAAGAATGCATGACATTTCAGTCTGCGTATGTGAAGTCAGCGCAAAACATTGCCAGCTGCAGGTAGGTAGGAAAATTCACCTGAACAGTACTTTGCACTGTATATTTCTTATGATAGCTTTAGAGAAAGCCAAACACAAGTGAGGAATTTCATTTTAAGTAAAATCTTGCACCTTTTACATGGTGACCAAACGCACATACAGATCTGTATATGTGTGTCTCGTATGATTAGAGATCGCATATCTGCCTTTCCCAACTGCTGCTGGAATGAGGACTTTAGCATGCAACCAAAAGGTATTTTCCTTCCCAACCACACACTGCTTGGCTAAAAATCTGATAGGTAACACTGACCTTTAGCTTGTCATAGCGGTCACTTAAAGCTGCCACCTGATGGTCACGGTGTCGCCCGACCAGTTTACACAAGGCACAGATTAACTGGTCATCAGTCACACAGTACATGTTAACTTTCTCGTCCTCATGCTCCAAGCACATTAATCCTCTGATGTGAGAGTCCGGGATGGGCTCGATGAGACGGTGGCCGGTGAAGGGCTTCTTGTTGGGGTGAGTGGCTTTCAGGCACTCCTCGCAGTAGGACACCTCACAGGTAACACAGGTTTTCACTGCCTCCTGGGCAGGGTCCTGGTCGCAGAACTGGCAGAGCACCTTCTCGCAGGACGACATGCTGTTGTTATCGAACGCCCGCTCCCGGCGGGTCTCGCTGGGGGAGTTGGGCCCGCTGACGGAGGCTTTCTGAAACCTGTCGATGATGTTCTGCAGGGTGACGTTGCGCTTGAGCCCGTCTAGACCGCGCTGGCTGAGGGTGATGACATAGCGGCAGGTCGGGCACTGGAAGGCGGTGATAGACTCCACTGGCTCGTTGGTGGCGCAGTGGGAGACCAGGATGCGGTGTGCGCAGTTGAAGCAGAGGCTGTGAGCGCAAGGCAGCAGCAGCGGGTCTTCAAACAGCTCCAGACAGATAGGGCAGGTCAGTTCTGACTCCAGTGTTTCCATCTTCAGGCAAAGCTTTCCTGTGGCGTCAGCGAAATCCAGGGAAGCTGATCAGCTATCTGGAAACACATGTAAAATTCAATTAGGCAAGAGAAAACATGAGGGGTCAGCCATGGGGGGTTGTCAACTTTCGCCACCGCTCCCTGGTCTATCAACCCACCATGCCGGGTGGGAGAGCAATCCAAAGTTTTGAATCTGCACATACACACGTCAAGGTATTTAAACTGTTTTATTCTATCCCCCTCTACCTTCTGTTCACTTAAGAATGAAAAAGCCCAAATGTTCTTAATTTTTTTCTCTTTTCCTTTCTCTTTTATGCAATCAAGAATGTTTCTGTGCATTATTAAAACCCAAAATGATGAACTTCAAAAGCCTATTACAGCAAAATTAGATTTCTTTTGCAGATGCTGCTTTTGGGTTCACTCATCTATTAGTAAAACTTAAAAAAAAAAAAAAAAACCACCTTCAATTTTGTATGACATTGTGCAAGGGTTAGTTCAGAGTATTATAACTGATAAATTTAAAATCTCTATTAGCATTGAGTTATTTTATCAGATTGAATTTTTCACTTGCTACTATAGGAATAGCACAGCATTTAGAGTACATGTCTGTGTTTATTTATGTAAATATATATATGGATTTAAATACAAGGAATAATGTTTCTAGCACGTGATATCCTACATATATATATCATATATGCTCCTATGTATTTCAATAACACATGCAGCTGTATTTATGTACAGCTATATCTTTGTGCATATATACCTGTATATATATGCCAAAAAGTATATCACATACATGTTTGTAGTAAGATTAATATAGCCACAGGAGCACAAAGTGCTGTAACTGAAATGCCTAAATGAAGATGAATTAGGTACATGCCAAACAGTAGCTTAGCCCAAATTAGTGATGATCCCAATCTCTAATACAAGAAAAGCCTCTAGACAGTAGCATAGTAAAATGTAGTGAGATAGGGAAATGTGTGATTTGCTTAGGAGGAGTTTGTGTAAGTATCCACTTTTGTATGAGTACTCTCTACTGCTAAAACATACGAACTACGGCTTACTTTAGTGACCTTATTAAACCTCTGAAGTGGATTTGGACTAGAATCAAAGATTTTTTGAATGGAGGGCATGGGATTTTCTGGAGAAGGCAGCGGTATACCCCCATCAGAGATCAACTGAAACTTTATTTTGCTTCTTTTCCTGTGCTCAGCGTTACAGAGAATGGTTTTGAAAGAGTCGCCCTACGCGACTCTCCCTGCCTAAGCTCCCGTCAAGGGCCCGTCACTGCCGCAAGCAGACGGGTCAGTGAAGCAGAAGCAAAAGCTATGCTTCACACTCACAGAGCTGTACCTCTTCACAGTACAATCTATTTAAGCTTTGTTGCTCATAACTGAGGATGGCTTCAGATGGCACAGCTGCATCGTCTTTACACTGTAAAGTCATTGTTCAGTTGTGTGAACTATTGACTCCTCCCCTGGCCAGGGAAAAAGACAGAAGGACAAGAATCCCCCACAAACAAACCTTGATTCATTAAGGGTGAGAAAAGCCCAGGGCTCATTAGCAGCCTTGGGAACCAAGCAGGCTTGAATCTTCTGTACTTCATGACAATTAGTGTGGGGAGCATGGTGGCAGTGACAGGAATGCTACCTATAACCCCAACATGAACCAAGCAAAAAGGAAAGTTCAGCTAACAGAGGCAAGGTTCAGACTTCACCATTGGTATTTAGTCCTCCTTGCTGTGTGGGAAGAGCAGCAAGGCGTCTGTTCCAGAGGTATGCCTAGAAATGAGGATACTTTGCCTCTTTGCACTAATGCGTCCTTTTATTCTGCCAAGAAATCTGAGCATTTAAAAAATGCACTGACCCCATCACAAAATTTGCTTTCCTGTATCTTCCATGATGCTAATCTTTTTTGAAATAAAGTTCAGTTTGCCAAATACTAATTCATTTATAGCTATCCATCAGCTGCCATAATTGCATGGTGCATCTGGTCAAAATTAAATGTCTGGAAATTTAATATAAGCAGGAAGACAACTCCCTTCTCAGCCATAGCCATACAGCAGAGAAGAGATTAAAGCCTTTTCTGCAAATGAAGACCAGTTTGTCTTTCCCCCTCTTCACTCTCTGTCTCACAGAAGTCCCAAAAGATCAAAATCTCATTCACATTGTTTGAATCCCTTCCACACCACAACTGTCTACTTCATCATCCTCTTATCCTGCAGGCTGAATACTGGAAAAGGGAGAAGGGGATTTGGGTTTGGCAGGAGACAATGTTTAAAAAGACAAACTAATCATTTCTCATCTATTGGCAGCCCTGTGAAAACCTGCCAGCTTTAAAGGTTTGTTTCTCAGGACCATGTTCAGAATACAGGGCTTTCTTCTATGCTAATCTCTCTGTACAAAATTCCTTCTCCTCTTCCATGTGCCAAACAGTTTCATTCATTCTGTTTCCTTCTTAAAGCATTTTTTTTTTAAGCAGAGGCTTTTTTATGGTACTCATATCAAAGAGATGTATAGATAAACAGCTAGAAGCAGCAGAAAAACATTTGCATCACTGCCTCACAGAAAGATGTTTGAATCACCATCAGGGCTCTACACAAATACCACCATCTCAACTGATGACTAACTCTAATCTATCTGACCTGAATGAGCAGCAGCTGAGCCCTAACTAATGCTATTCAGTATGAGCAAGGGTGCCAAAATCTGATCTCAGACTGTAAACGTCTTGGAATAAGAACCTATCTTCCAAGGTAAACAAAGCTGAGCACACTGATAGAGACCAAAAAAATTACATTTCCCCCTTTTCTTTTGCAGTTGCAAGTACGTCAAAACACAGCACATCTAGGACTGAATAATGAATCCTTTGAGAGCCTCTCACCAAAGACAGGCTGCATTTCTGGACAATCAAATGACTAATCCATTGAATTTCTGCTTTAACATTTAAGTGGGTGCCTTAAGTACAGATCAGTGTGCTGATGATCCAGCGACAAAATCTTTCAAACTCACTGGCCCTTGCTTTAAGGTTTCATACTGAGTTTGGGTTTTTCTTTCTTCCTTGAGAATGGTAGAGAATTCATAGCTACAGAAAACTGGAAGAAACACAACATGCATTGTTTATGTATGCATATAATATGGAATACAACTTAAGGTTGCGTTCCATATTCAACCTACCTCAAAAATTGAAATGCACATAGCCTCCAGATGCAGAAAAGAATGAAAGAATTTCAAATACACAATTTCCTATTTGCAAAAATAAGGGATTATTGTCAGAAAATTATATTACCAAAATGTTATTGAAATGACAAGAGTTATTTTTCTACCCACAGGAGGTAATTTTAAGATCAGATGTCAAAATAAAAGAGATTGACAAAAGAAATTTTATTTAAACAACAAAAATATACTTAAGTAACTTTGAATTTGTGACATCCCCCCAGGCACATAATGATTAGTTATGCAGTATATTGTAAACATGCACTAAATAAAATCCCAACATCAGTCTAGTTCGTTGCAAGATTTTACTAACCCTAGTGGAATTAGCATCTCTGTACCTCTGCTTACAAGCATGACATATTTTGTAGGTGGCATTAACACCTTCATTTGCCAAAACATAGTCCAGCAGCAACTGGAGTAACTTCTGAGATAACAGATTTAGGAAGGAGAAAAAAGTTATTGCAGAGAAGCAATTGCAATGACAGAAGAAAGGAGTGAGAATATGTGAGAGAAACAGCTCCGCAAACAGCAAGGACAGTGAACTGTCCAACAAGGACTCCCCAACAAGAGGGAGGAGGTGCTCCAGGTGCAGATTTCCCTGCAACTTGAAAGGAATAAAATGAATGTGTCTTTACAAACAGATGTGAATCTGCTTGTAGATAGAGCCCAAGGACTTGTAGGTAGGGAAGTAACAGGAGAAATTATGAGTTTCAGAAAATACAACCAGTGGACATGGAAAGCCGCTCAGCCAAGGTCATGCTAAATTTCTGAACTTTGAGAAGAAGAACAAAGATTTAATAGAGCTATGTTATACACAGGATGTGCGGGCGTTTGTGTGCGCATGTTAAGGGGAACACATAATAGGTGAATTGGGAAGTCTGCACCTTCCAAGTACCTTAGCCAATGGGGAAATGGAAAGAGTGATGGGGCCAGGAAAACTGGGCTGAAAAGGAGGCTGTGTCCTCCAGCAATTTGAGATCCCATGGAGAAATTCCCTATGGCCTCTCCCTTGTTCATGAATAAAGTTACTTCTGTCACGTTTTTGGACATAAACCTCTGGCAATGAGACTTTTTCCACACAAACCCATGGTGAAGACCATGATGAGGCAGGCTGTCCCCCTGCAGTGTTCCATGGTGGAGCTGAGATCCACCTGCAGCCCTTGCAGGACTTCACACCAGAACAGGTGAGTGTCAAAAGGAGTCTGTGACCCTGTGGGAAGCCCGTGCTGGAGCAGATTCCGGGCAGGACTTGTGACCCTGTGATGGACCCGTGTCGGAACAGCCTGTTCCTGAAGGACTGCACATTGTGGGAGGGACCCACACTGGAGTTTGTGAACAACTGTACTCTATGAGAAAAACTCATGTCGCAAAAGTTCTTGTAGGAACTGCTGTCTCCAATGGGATGGACCCCACACCAGAGCAGGTGAAGAGAGTAAAGAGCCCTTCATCTGATAAGGAAGGAGTAGCAGAAAAATGTGATGTACTGACTGCAACCCCCATTTCCCATCTCCTACTGCTGCTAGGGAGAACAAGCAGAAAAATCAGAAGTGAAATTAAGCCTGGGAAGAAGGGGTGGAGGAGAAGGTATTCTATTTCTCATTGCCTGATTCTGATTTCATGGATAAAAAGTTAAATTAATTTTCCCAAGTTGATTCCATTTTGCCTAGGACAGTAACTGGTGAGTGATCTCTCCGTGTCCTTACCTTGACCCATCAGCCTTTTGTTGTATTTATTTTCCTTGCTCAGCTGAGGACAGGAGTAACAGAGCAGCTTTGGTCGGCACTTGGCATCCAGCCAGGGTCAACTCACCTCAAGTATAAAACTACACTTATAAATGAATGTGTC